ATGTATTTTAAACTTTTTAAAATACTAGGGTTTTAAATAATCTTTTAAATTTCAAAAATTAAAAACATTTTAATTTAAATTTAAAGGAAACTGATTTCATAATTATCCAATAATTAAACATTTAATTATATTATTAAATCAAATAAGGATTATCTATTAAATTAAACAAATTAGTTTTAACCTAATCCTTATCCCATGGATTTCAAAAAATAGGGTAGGGATATTTCAAAATCTATAATTATCTAATTAAACTATTAACAAGATAATTACCAAAAATAACAACCTACTAAAAAACTTTTGATTTTCAAAATCTATTGCTTGAAGTGGAAGGCAAGGCTTTCAACCTTGCCTAATATTTGAAAACCCTAGGGTTAAGAAACCCTAGATTTCGACTCCAATGTGGCCAAAGGAAAGGATTTGAAAATCCTTTGCAATTTTCGAAGAAAAAAAGTAGGGTCATAAACCTTAATTTGCGAAAATCATATGGCTTCGGGTTTAATTGCCATAAACCCTAATTTTGTCCAGTTCAATATATTTCATCAAATCTAATTGAAAATAAAAAAACCACAAGCTCTGATACTACTAATGAGTTTTATATATAGCAAACAATCATATGTGTGCATGCAACCCTAATTTTGAGGATCTGTGTTTTCACTATTACACATACAAGCATTGAACACAAAAAAACTATAAAACCTAGGAAGCAAGTATAATTTTTGAAATTAACATAAAACTAGGGTTAGGATACATACCTTGATTTTTATATTGTAATAACAATCAAATCCTTAAAGATCTTAAACTTTGAGAGCAAATGTCACACCTCTAATAGCTCGTAAGCAGACCAAGCAAGAAGATGATTATGAGAGAGAGAGAGAGAGAGAGAGAGTTGAAAGGAGGTAATTGCTCAAAATTTCAGCTCTTCTAAGATTTCTTGAAGTATGACCGAAATCCATAAGGGGTTGTATCCTTTATATAGTTGTTGGTTGCTTAGAGCCAAAGCAAGGGTTAAGATAAGGAAACCCTAATCTCTTTGCTTAAGGCCTAAGCAGCTCATGAATCTACATCCTTAAGGCCTTGAATGAAATTTCTAGGTCCTTCCTTAGAGAATTTCATCCATCCCTTCTATAATGGTCTAAGAGCCCAATTCTATAACTATTAATAAATTGAAAAACAACCCATGTACTTTTAATTAATTCCATTAATACCAAAATTAATTCCAAATTAATTTCTGATTAAATATCAAATAAAATTTGATTTCTAATTAATATATAATTTCCATAATATATTAACAAATCATTTATTTCAATTTATTAATCAAATTAATAAATTCTTCCTCTTCCTTGATTAATCATCCTGTCAAGTTGCTAGTGTCAAGGAAACCCAAAAGGACTGTGCTATTATCAATTCAAGTTCATACCAATTATAGTTATGGGATTAGACACCTAATCCAACATAACCTTGATCAACTAAAAAAGTCAAAGTCAAGGTCAACAGTCCATATTGAACCAACACGCCGTGTTCTTCCAACATCCAGATAATCGGGAAATCCCTAGCCAACAAGTCGTGTTGGCTTGCAAACACGCCGTGTTTGCTCAAGATTCAACAACTTAACCAATTAAGCACTTAATCCTTACATATATAGCCTCAAAACATAGATCTGACCTCCATGAGCTGGGTTACTACGTAAAGTTGCCAACTTTATGTCCATATATGACTAAATGAGGCTCTTAAGCTAAAAAGGGACTTAATAGGGGACTTGAAGCATGCATGACACCATTCTTCACATAAAGCTTGCACCTTTATGCTCAAGGATACCAAAACAACTCAGGTCTAAAAGAACAAGCCCTTAAACAATCCCACTCATCCATAGATCTAAAAAGGAGACCAAAATCGTAATAAAACCCCATAAGTGAAGATCTAATCAACAAGAAAGCAAGGTATAAACTTGCTACCTTAAGGAGACTTCAACAAGTGGTGAGATTTTGGATCTATAGCCTTCCTTCCAAGCTAGGAACCTTAAAACTCCAAAACTCCTTCAAATAAACGCAAGAATCCACTTAAAACTTCAAGAACACCACAAGAAAGCTCAATACTCGATTTAGGGTTTTAGGTAACAAAGGAGGATGGTAAGGAGGCCTGTCAAGGGAACTTCAGGCCTTAAATAGGGTGCAACATCCTAAAAATTAAGGGTTCCTTCCTAGCTGCCAACACGTTGTGTTGGGACACCACAACACATCGTGTTGACTCATTAAACTCGGTCATTGTCCTTAACTAGACACGCTGTGTTGGTTCCTCCAACACGTCGTGTTCTAATCCCCAAAATAGGATTCATTCATTACAATTGCTCCTTAAGATTCCGGGTGTTACATGTACACAACATATAAATGCATATCTTCTGATTTAGTAGTTTTTTTTTTTTCGCTCGAGAAAATATTATTTCCATAAATATAATTTCTCAATTAAATACAAGTGTTAATGGTATTTAATAGTAATTAAATTCTAATAAATAATCAATAAGTTATAATTTTCTATAAGATGCGACCCTATAGGATCATATGTCATTAGCAAATATCATTCTATAACTATTGTTAGGCATATGGATTTTCCATTGCCGGCACAAGATGGGTAGCCTTTTTTTAGGGTTCGAGATAAAATGTATTATTGGTAACTATACTTTACGATAGACTTTGCAATACATGTATTATTGGTAACACAGGAATATATAGCTAAGTAACTTAAGTTATCTTACAAAATAGACTTTGATATATATTTTATTTAAATATTATATTTTTAGTTTCCGACATAGAGGAAAATACATAGCTAACTAACACAATCTTTGCATGCAATACACATCCAAAGTCGAGATTAGAACTTGTAAATAATTAAAGCCAAGAATAAAACCCACCTACTAACTAAGCATATCTTTAGCTACCCATTTTGTCTTTCAAGATGTTTCATCATCCTAAGCAATCGAAAATTGTTATTGATCATTTTCATCATCAACCCAATAAATAAACTCCCACCGCGGCCATTGTGAAATTAAGAGACAATTGTTTCGGGCCAATGAGAAGAAGAAGGAAAAATGAAAAACAACATACCATTGTTGGACAAGCATAAATGTTCCTTCTTGTGTAATTGTGGATCATTTAAGTCCGTATAATAACTACACTTCCAACTTTGACATGTGTTGGATTTAATTGAAGAATGTCCACCACCATCGATTGTCATTTACATGACTTTACATAGTTTATATAGAGAATTTGAACATACTGTTAGGTTCGCAATACGTATGTCAGGTTCACAATACATATATCAGTACCTATGTCACGTTCCTTTTTAAGTTTTTTTTTTTTAAACAAAGACACTATTAATTTTGCAGAATAAAAATATGATTTTTCAGGATTTATATTGTTCAGTTTGCAGTATGTAACAACAGTCTATAGTACCCTATCTACGGACTTATGTTCCATACTGCATACCCACATGAAATTACGAAAAATTCTCCATTTTTGACAAATGACATGAGTTCGCAGTATAAAATCGAATCCCCAGTACGATCAGCGATTCCCTAGAAGCCTTTCTGTGGACTAGTTGTTTAGTTTTGGAAACACCTGCATTTTTGCTCGTTTTGTTGAAATTGAGTGTGCAAGTTAATTTTGCCAAAATCTCTAAAATAAACGTTACTTGGACTTGAATAATAATTTGTTCCAGGGGAAGCTAGGATATGAATTTGTGATATTTTCCAAATTTAATTTCTCTAAGGCTAAGTTCAAACCATTTTTAGGGTTTGATTCCTTTCCATGTTTTTGACCTCAAATATGTTCAAATTCTTGATCTAAATAACAAGAAGGTCTTTGAGTTGGGGTGAGAATTATTTGATCGGAATCAGAAAGCCCAAAATCAATTTCAGACAAAACTATATTCAAAATCTGTTTTTGGTTTGTTTTGAGACCAAACCGAATTGTAAATTTGATTTTTGGTTCGAGTTTCGGTCTCATGAAGTTTAGACCAAACTGAACCGATACAACTGAATTTCATAAATTAATTAATTAAAAACTATATTATATATTTTATATATTAAATAAAATTATTAATTAGAAACTAAAAATCATTTTAGTTCATTTAAATAATTTAATTGTTTTTCATAGTTCAATTTCAATCTCTTACCAAACTTAAATGATTTAATCACTATTTACGGTTCAATCCCTTACTTAATTCCGATGTCAATGTTTTATAATTTTATTTGGAAACTTTATGTTTCTAACTGATCCTACTAGTACCATTTTATTATTTTATATATGAAACTTTAGATCTTTATTTTTGCAATTTTATATTTTTATGTTAAAAAACATTGTAATTTATGTTTGAAAAATTGCAACTAATTTTATTTTAAATTGATATTTGATTTCCTCGGTTTTCAAACCGAATTAGAATTCAGTTTTCGGTTTGATCTAGAGAATTTGAATTTGATTTTGTTGGGTTTTGAAATAGTACCAAAAAAAATTAAAGCGAAGAAACTTCGAGAAAACCAAACCTATTCCAACCCTATTTGTAAGTCCTAAAGTTGGTAAGCTTCGAAATCTTGAATCCTTAAAGCTTAAGAATTTTCTTGCGTGACAAATACGGAACGATATTGGAAACTAATAGATAGTATTTTCATAAGGGAGCTGATCCGTACACAACAATTTTTTTCCATACACAACAATTGGTGCTTTGAAATGTTGTATATGTACAACTATATAATGCATGAATTGTTGTGTATGACAAAAAACTGTTGTGTACGAATTACTTCCCTTTTCATAATATCAGGATAGTTTCCTTATTTATCTTAATAAACCGTTTCCATATTTATGCATTGGAGAAGGTCACGGATTCTACTTTGTAACTCTATATATTTGCCAATGGAAATCATAATCTAAACAGACTTCTGATTCTAAATCATCTGGACTTCCTTTTGGTGACTAGTGAACGATTAGAGAGAGTGTACAAAACCCTAGAAAATGTTGAAGGAGATGGAAAGATCGAGCCCGAAACACAGGGATAAGGATTCAAGCAAAGACTACAAGCATCAAAGCAGCAAACACGCCGATGACCACCATCTCTCCAAACACGACAAAAACAGTGACACCAATGGAGATGATCGGTGGGCACCTGAGAAATGTGATGGTGGTGAAGATCAGATGAAGCGTGAGAGATCATACAATAGAGAATTGAGAGAGAAATCGGTGGATAACAGATGGCGCCACAACCACAAGAGGAAAGATAGAGGTGTAGAGAGTGATGAGGATGATAAACGAACAGATGGGTCTTCTACAGATGATGTTAAGAGTGGAGGCATCTCGCTCGATGCCTTATTAAAGGCCAAAGCAACATTACTGAAGCGAAAGGAGGTTGCAGAGAAGATGAAGAAGATCCCCATGTTAAACAAGGGTGCTGACTCAGCAAGAGATGGCCTGAAACCTCCATCTAGTTCACCAATACCACCTCCCCCGCCACAATCCGCGACTGCTGGTGGGCTGCCCCAACTTGAAGAGTTTACTGCCCCGAAGTTTGAAGCTGTAAAACGGGCACAAGAACTTGCTGCCATTAAGGTTAACATTAACAAACAGAAGAAAAAAGATGCATTCCAGATTCTGAAACGGGAGTTAGAAGTGGACCCTCATAAAAACCCTCACTTTGATTGGCGAATGGGAATTGATAAAACCAAGCTTTTAAGGCCTAAGAGGACGACCTTTCAGTTCGTGGAGGGAGGCAAATGGACCAAAGAGGCTGAAATCATCAAGTTTAAGAGTAAATTTGGTGAATCACAAGCGCGAGAGTTGAAAGCAAAACAGGCTCATCTTATTCCTGATGTTGAGTGGTGGGATGTGTCAGTTCTTGATATACTAAAGAAAGAGAAGATTACTTCATACATGGAACACCCCCGCCCTATCGAGCCGCCATTTAAAGAGGCCCCACCGCCACCTCAGCCCTTAAAACTCACCAAAAAAGAACGCAAAAAGCTCCGCACTCAAAGACGTCTCGCCAATGAAAAATCAGGCAAGAAATGATCCGACAAGGGCTTCTAGAACCCCCAAAACCCAAAATTAAAATGAGCAATCTAATGAAAGTCCTCGGGTCAGAAGCCACCCAACACCCAACCCGTCTCGAAATGGAAATCAGAAGCGCAGCCGCCGAACGCGAACAAGCTCATATTGACCGGAATATCGCCCGGAAGTTGATTCCGGCGGAAAGACGCCACAAGAAAAAAGGAAAAACTTTTCAATGACAATAATACCCTCGAGACTATTGTTTATGTGTACATAGTAGAATCATTGACCTTCTCCAATACTTAAATATGGAAAATACTATCTAATAGGAACTTGAGCATGATTTCTTATATCCTAGAGACTAAGATTTCTTATTCTTTGTCTCATGATTCCATAAGTTTAATCCGTATATAGATAGAGTGTAACATATATGTTAATTTTAGTAACACTACAATATGATATATAGACACAGTTAGCACCACATAAATACAAATATCATTATTTTAGCATCAGTTTAAAGTTTAAACTATTCAAATTTGAGCAAGTCAAAATTAAAGATTTTTTTCAAGTGAAGTGCCTCAAAGCTATCATCATAACATCGTGAACTTAAAAAATCGTTTAGCTTGAAACCAAAAACACCTATGGTAATTAAAATGGGGAACATTGGTCAGAAAGAAAGACAGATTAAAAAAAAAAAACGAGTATCCTTTATGTACACAATAACTCCAAAGCTCATGCCCAAACTTATCTATCCTCGCTAAAGATCATTACTCATAAAAGACCTATATATCTTCTATTTAATAGTTGCCACATTAAATGAGTTTTAAAATCATACTTTTATTTTCTTATTTTTGTTAACTCTCTACTCAACTCGTGCACTTTACATTTACGATGTTCCGTATGTTCTTTCATTATCTTTCATTGAAATTTTTCTCTCAATAAACATACACAACTTTGGTCCTTCTAAAAAGTTCAATGAACCACATTTAATTGGTTTCTTTGTTAGATATCAATGATAAAGAAGTAGCTTAGGGACCCTTTTTTGTAAGAATTTTTAAATACAATGTTATTACACATAAATACATTCTACTTATGCGACATCAGAAAAAGTATTTCCTATTCCTGTCTCTGTCCCATCACCATTATGTGTTCAATTCCAGATAGAATCTAGTGTCTCATCACCATCAGAAAAAGTATTCCCATCACCATTAGTGTCTCATCACCACTACTTGATCGACCACATGCGACCATATACAAAATTCAAACGTTTTGTTCACTAGTAATTGTTGCAAAATATTGTTGTTGACAACATAATATCTGTTTTCTTTGTTATTATTACGAAACATATACCTATATTTTAAATACCGATATTTTAAATGTTGTTAAAGATTAATCAAATTTACCAAAAAAGTCTACCATCTCTAATACAAGTTTGGGAAGGTTTTGTGGTTATAGTTAGGAAAGTTTGGAAAAACCATTTCAAAAATAGGGTTTTGTGACATTATATTATCCCAATCAATTGAAAGAAAGGGTGATTTTTTAGTGAATTATGACCCTCAAGTCCTGCATCGGGTGTTTTTGTTGGATAGTTGTCCTGCGTCACTATTGAAATTTAATTTACTCTAAACGGCATAACAAAAGAAACAAAAAATAGAAAAAAGCAATATGATACTACATTTGAAAAGGACTATATATTGCTAGCATTCTTAAAGTCATACAAAACGTAATTGTCATATGATAAAATTTAAACAATAAAAATTCATAAAATCTGAAGTTTAGTCATTAAATTTAGGTAAATTATATCAATCATCTCTCATGCATATGCTAAAAAGCGTGTTTAGTCCCTATTTTTAAAAAATAACTCGGACAATCTCTTATTTGGTTAAAACTTACACACCTCATCCCTCCAGACATAAAAAGACGATTTTACCCTTAATAATTTCTTTTTTAATTTTTATTATATATATATATATATATATATATATATATATATATATATATATATATATATATATATATATATATATGCACCGACCCACCATTCACCTTCCCCTTCCTTAGTTTCCTTCCCTTTGTCTCATTCACTCTCGACAAACACCTAAGCAACTCCTCCTCCTCTTCTTTTTTCTGGCGAGACCAACCACATCTACTCTTTCTCTTACTTTCTTTTCCGAGTGCCAGAGAATAACATCAGAATCCCATGAATTAGTCACTTAATAGGTTCGATTTTCCGGTGAAGTAACAAGGGTACCCTCGCAACCCACCGAGCTTTGTTTGTGATGCAATGAACAGATGAAGAGGGTGTGGAGATCGGGACAGGAGAAGAATGGTTTGAGGAAATCCAGGGTTTTGTCATTGATGCCAAACCCGAAGCCACCGATGAGGCCATTGGTCTACACCTCAATCCCTCGTTAGAGTCATCAAAGCCGCCAGAAACCTGCAGCTCCTCCGGCACCACCACATATCAACATGAGCACGAACTCCTTTGGCACCACCATCTGTCACCACAAACACATTCCCCTTCCTTTTCTCCAATAACCATCAAAGCTAACAATTTTAATCTTTCACGAGTGCACGACATCTCACAGCAATCGAAATATGGTCCAAGATGAATCCATCAAAATAAAATCAAACTGAACGTGATACTCAAAATCAAAATCAAAACCTTCATCAATTTCAATTTTTGGATTTGAGAAGGATGAAAAAGGAGGGACCTGTCATTTTCATCAAGTTTGTCTCTTCATCCTATTTCTCTCTCTGTATCGTGCAACATCTCCATCTCACTTGCCATCTATCTCGATATCGCATCAGACACATATGTATGTGTGTTTTCTATTACTATGTTATCTATGATTAGTAACAGTAGTGTGAGGGTTTGGAAGTAAAGGAGGTAGATGGGCTGGGGGGAACTAAGAGTATGTGTTGAAGATGAACGAGAGAGAGGGAGAGAGAGAGAGAGACAGAGAGAGAGACAGAGATCGAAGGTGGTTGTGGACTTGTGGTATTTTGCTACGTAACTGAGAGAGATAGAGATTAGAGAGAGTTGTTTTTTTAAAGTTATAAATAATATTAAATTAATTAAAAAATAAATATCCAAGGGCATTTTAGTCATTTCATCTCGTGCGTGGACTACATTTGCAACAAAAACACATTTAAGGGACGAAACGTGCAAGGTTTAAGAAAACGAGGGACGGTTCGAGTTTATTTTTGAAAATAGGGACTAAACACGCTTTATGCGAGAAACCCAACTGATCCAAGCGACAAGGAGTATGCTCAAAGCATTATTACCAGAACCAATCATTATCTCTGGCATTACGAGAAGCAATATTAACCAACCGAAGCTTCAGATCCTGTCGGACCTGATGACCTTGTCCCCCGTACGGACTCGTAGGAGGTCGTAGTATAAAAGGCATCCTCTGCCACCTCAAACAATAAGCCATTTCCTTCTAGCTCTATCAATACACTCTCAGTCTAATCACTGACTTGACCATCAGAGCGTTTTCCCGAGAGCTCCTTTCGGAGAACGACTGATGGTTCTTCCTTGTTGTGACCTTGCAGGTCTCCCGGAGCGACTAGAAGCACCTTACAATCACCACATCAGCCAACCGGACAACTTGGTCGCATCATATATAGGTTCTATGTAACACCGTAAATTTTCAAAATATTTTTTCGCATCTTATAAAGAACATAATTCATTTATTATTCATAAAAACATCATTGTTTGAAACTCATTTCAAAACATATATCAATCCCAAGATCTCATAGCATAAAAATCTCGTGTGTGTACTGATCAAGCCGATGCCTTCCCGCGATCATCACTGGTACCTGAAACATATAACACAACAACTGTAAGCATAAATGCTTAGTGAGTTCCCCAAGATACTACTTACGCACATATGCCTTTCCAGGCCCTGACCTTCCGGTCCATGTATCTCCGGGGACTTCCGTCCCGACTCAGTAAACCTTCCAGTTCTACCCGCGTCAACCTTACGATCCACATCACAACGCCTTCCGGCCCATAACATATATGCCTTCCGGCCCATAACATAATGCCTTCCGGCCCATATCAAGCATAGCATACACAGCACATACAAACGATTAACTTATCATATACAATGCATACAACTCATAACATATCCGACCTTCCAGTCACACAATAAAACCCTTCCGGGTACAATATAGTGAGAAAACTCACCTGGCACAAGAATCAACCCCCAATCATGCTGCTTGCCAAACACCGACCTCTAACTCTGTGTCAAATCCTATAATTAACCCAATCAGGAACTAAGTCCAAATTCTACATTACCAGGTCTAAAGATAGACCAACTACTAGACCATTACGGTCCTAACCCTTTGGGCCCACCAAGGCCCAATAATAATTGAGTTTTCCCCAAGGCCCAACCTCATCCTACATGATAAGCCCAACATGAGGCCCAAGACATTAATTTAATTCTCTGATCACAGGCTCCATTCAGCAGGCCCAAGGATTCCGGCCCAACACTTAAAGCCCAAAAGATCACCTTGCCCTAAAGCCCACAGAGGGGTTACGTGGGGCGTACCTCTCTTGGTACGCTCAGCGTACTCAAACATGCACAAATCTGATCGGGGGCCTCAGCCTAGTACGCGGGGCGTACTAGGATTACGCTGGGTGTACTCTCAGTTTTGCTTAAATACATTTATGGGTCTTAACCCGTTAAGACCTTGACTTATCTCTTGGATCTGGACTTCCTAACATCACTTACTCCATAAAGTTATCGACTTTAAGCCTTTGCATGGCTGATGAGGTCACAACACATAAAAACTCTTACTTTCTTAACCCAAAATGCTCATAACTCATGCGTGGGTAGATTCACACGATCAAGATCTCATTTTTATGGTTTTTCATCATTAGATACACTTAAAAGGACAGGTTATTAAGCTTTCGAGTGCATCAACTCATAAAGTCTCAAGCTTGGGACCAAAGACCCTAAAATGGACCTTAAAATGCACAAAACAGAAAGAGAGGGAAAGTTTGGAGCTTT